GTCAATCAGTATACTACAGGCTTCTCAGATTTTATTCCACTTCATAAGCAAACAAACGAACTACAGCATTTTCGCTTTTATACTGACTCCTATCTGTCAAATGGTAGCATTAACCCCTTAAGGACACATGACATGTGTGACGTGTAATGATCCCCTTTTATTCCAGAAGTTTGGTCCTTAAGGGGTTAAAGGGTATTTTAACATACAATCAGCATTTCTGACCCCTACTGGTCAACAGCAAAACTGTCTTCACATGTCATATACAATTTACCAGCCAATATAAATTACACATAAGATTGTTTTAAACATAACTATAGACCATAAATTAAACTCCAGCACGGGCTCAACTTCAGGTTTAATTCACAATAATTTACATTTCACATCAAGACCAACAGTGGTTCTATCAACACTGCCACCTACAGGTCTGTCAAGTACATTGACAATTTTCATGGGGTTTTACAAACACCAAAACACTGACACCTATAGGTCAACAGACAAACAACATTTCACATACCAATCAGTATCCAACTACACTGCCACCTATAGGGCACTCGGCAGATCTCCAGTGCACTTGCATTTTGCAACACCATGTTCACTGACCCCTACCATTCAATAAGACATACAACAATTCACATAGCAAGCACTATGTCAACATCTGGTATAAATACATATATTATTACACAGTAGCAGACGCATCTGTATATATGTAACTGGTAATATAGTTCACATACATTTTTCACAGCACGCTGCTCCCGCAACAGACTTCCCCTAGCAAGGGGACATACAACATACAAGGTGGGGACAGACCACATTTTCACTTGTACATACGGCACTTAATGGGTTAAGATTGATACATATTTAACCAGTATGGCTACGATGTTTAATATTTACACATCACGGCACTTTACTTTTCACATATACTGTACGTATTAAGATAAGCTTGGTCTATGCCATATTTCCTTATGCCATACGGTTTTATCCATTCAGGTTACAGTTACTACTAAAAAACCTATACGGATTGTCAGGTTCAATACCATACTACCAGGTACATACACCTGCTCACGTAGTTATCCATCTCTTACCTTCCCTGGAATAGTAATAGTGTACTGGCAATTAGGGTTCTAGGGCCCAATAGGTATTACCCCCTTTTTTCTCTGCATTATGCTTCGGTTAGTGGTCCCGCGAGGCCAACACCCCGCCTCACACTCTGAGGCATACACCCCTCGGGCCACTCGTGAGCTAGCCGCCTCGCATTGTGTATCATAGAGAGGGCCTCACCTGTCACTCCCCTTCCTATTTTCTGGTTACTGTCACCGAGAGGCCAACATCCTGCCACAACGTTCGGTGGCCACACAAAATCCCCTCGCGCCAAGCATAGATAGAGCCTCTCAAGCCACTTGGCAACTAGCAGGGCCTCACCAGTCACCAAAAAACACCAAGCCTAATCGTTTCGCCTTACGGCTTAGCTAGCAAGCCAGTACAAGAACCCTGGGAACAAATAATAATTGCAATCTTTATTGTTATTTAAGTATTTCTCAAAAAGATGGTGAAGAATACCCTCTTCCTAGCACCCCGGCTAGAATTGATACACCTTCAAGCAGAGGAGATGTTGCTAGTCCAGCAGCAATCAGATCCTGGACGATCCCACACATTACCACCGACCTAAGGAGGTGACAAATCCCCTACCCTGCTACAGCAAGGAAAGCAGTTATTCAAACTCCTCCATACATCAACGGACAACACGGAGGCAGGGGAAGGCCCAGCTACATCAACTCAGGTGACACCCAGGCTATGCTAGCTTCACTCATAAACTCATGAGCCAAAAAATTTATGACAGACTGGCAATCTCGAGTTGGTCACCACAGCCCTCACAAGGCTGGGCCTCACGCTACTGTACAACCAGCACCAACCGAAACTCGGTTACCTGGTACAATCAATTCTTATGACACACAAGATGTTAAACCTGCACGTATGATCCCAGCACATTGGGGAAGCAAGGCATATATATGTATGATGATGTATCTGTGATGGTCAGATCCAGGGATTCCAGGTAAATCGGGAACTGACCATCCCTTGGTTGGGTTGGCATTTGGAATATGTGGAGATGTTTATTTGTGCAGGTACCCATACAGAAGGGATTTTGTCCCAAACAAATGGACGAGCACCCTCAGGCTCCAGGTACCAGCACCTCTGAACTACCAGAGACCACTGATATGAGTAGTTGCATTGCATACAGACTGTTGCATATATGTTCAAATAGTTCAGGGCACATGACAAACCATGTGTCCCAATACAACTTACAAATAACGTATTCACCATCTGTACACACCAATGCATTTTCAACACTACTGACTCATCACCCTTCCAGACTTGTAGTAGATTTACTAAAGCTCTGGAGCTTCAAAGGGCTCCCATACAGGTATCATAAACACACCTTCAAGGAATATAGCATGCCCTCACTTACAGTCAGCACAACAAAACCATTGACTGTAAACACACTCATAGCCAAGATTTGCAGAGGGGTCTTCCAATCTCCACCATTTACAGCATGGCACCAAACACACGCATTGGTATTGTCACAAGGAATCTTCCCTTAAACAAAGACTAACCATGGACTTATTGGTAACACACACCTCCGCTACCCCAAGTCTCAACTCCCTCATACCCTCCGAGGATTTTTCTTACTATACAACACCATTGATCTACCTTTACAGCTATCACTCAAGCATGGGTTGAAGCTTGATTAAGTAAGACCAATATCATCAACGCAGTAAACGGCTACCATCTACCCTACACACTGGCACTTACATGGCATAAATTGGGCAATCCTTTCCCCGCTCAACTTTCGAGCTACAGATTAGCCTACTATCGATATTCGCAGATACTCTGTGCTGGTTATGATAACCTATCCAGAGGCCTTACAGTCATACACTATCTAGAAGACTTCTTGTTAATCAAAGAAAGCATATTTTTCACTAGAAGCCTCACGGCAGCTTAGTCTGGTTGACCACTTGGGCGTCCCAGTACCCCATAAGAAACAGAAGGCCCAGACACTATCTTCACATTACTGGGCATATGACTTGAGTCGGCATCCATACACGCAAGTTACCACAAGACAAATAGGGAACATTCTCAACTACATCAATCACTACCTCCTGCTTAGTACTTACAACTGCAAGGAACTACGATCCCTACCAGGTTCCTTAATTTTGCCATGCTTTCACATCCAGAGTACTTTCCCCTTTTTTCCACACTTCCAACATGACGATCAGAGGAGGTGCCTAGACACCTCAGCAACAGCAGACCTGCACATGGGGGGGGGATTTCTTAACCACTTGGCATGGTAAAAGCATGTTCCTTCCAGGATTGTCTGACACTTCTCCAACCAGATGGTCAGACGCAGCGTATACCACGGGTTTGGCAGCGATCTACCGGGAACAATTGCTTTGGGGCTGTTGGCCATGGCATCCAGGTTTGGAAATTTTTCCACCACTTCAGCCCCTTTGGGAGATCTACCCCATTGTAGCAGCTGCTGTGGCATGGGGTAAATCATGGTCAGGGTCATCAATCCGTTGTTACTCAGACAACTAAGCACATACATATCATCAACAAACGCCACTACTCATCCATAAGTTCATGATGTTTCTGGGGAACTCACTTGGTTGGCCACTTATCACATTTCACTTTCATGTACCAGACGGGGGTATACATCCCTGCCGACAACTGTCTCATTTATATTCCAGGCATGTTCATCATACGCTTCCTACAGCCGCCCATACAGTCACGTCCACTCTTTCGTTCCAGAGACAAAATCATGGATTAGACATACTCATGCAGCATAGCATGCACTATCCCACCTAGCACTTTCGTCCCATACTTGTAGAACGCATAACACAGCTTTTCACCTGGCTTAAAGAATCTCATTGGAACACGACATAGCTCAACCTGTGTCACAAAATTTCTCCTAAGTTTTGCTTATTTTTGCCACCTTAAACTTAAACTATCTCATACACCATTAATTATATATTTTACAGGCATTCAACAACACATGGCCAAAACTACCATAAACTTCATGCTATCATACCAGAAAAGAATATACTCAGAGGTTTTCAGGAATCCATTCCCCCACGTTCCTCTCAGAGATTACCAATAGCCATCCAACTGTTCATCCTTATCGGACCTATTAGATCTACAACCATTCAATTATACTACCAAGTCGGCCATTACCAGCCATGCACATTGCCTTTTATGCCTTTCTCAGGCCAGAGAATCCACTACCATCACCACCACTCAGACAGATCATTGTCTTCAACGATCCCACGTACGTAAACACATATATCATTACCTATTGGCTCTACCACATTCCGAAATGAGTCAACATGCACCAACAGTAGAGATAACATACTATCCTACCCACAACAAATGGTGCCCACTTTCGGTCCTAGATTCCTACCTTCAAAATCCTTTCAGGAATTAAATACTGTAATGCATTTAAGGAAATGTCTGGTTAATTTGTATATATTTGTTGACTGTATTAAATCTTTGATTATTCATTTTTGCCCTCTTTATTTACAGGCCTACCGTATCGTCGGTATCGGCACACCACAACCGACTTGCTCCCTTTACACTATCCTAAGCTTATGCTGGATCCTTACTCCATATACGGCTATTTTGCCCCTTACACAAGTATTAAGGCAGTTTTGCCTGTATTTGTGGGAGGGGCTTAAATTAATTCACTCCCCTATATAAGGGACACCCCTTACCTGACTCATATCGCTTGAGGTCAGCATCAGAATGACCCTCCCACCCACTCCTCATTTCAACACTTTCTCTTTTCTTTCCATTTACTTTACTTTCTTACTCCTTGGTGGGCCCTCTTTATTTACAGGCCTACCGTATCGTCGGTATCGGCACACCACAACCGACTTGCTCCCTTTACACTATCCTAAGCTTATGCTGGATCCTTACTCCATATACGGCTATTTTGCCCCTTACACAAATATATATATGTGTGTGTGTGTGTATGTGTGTGTACACACACACACACACACACACACACATATATTTAGTTTGTATATTGTATTTTTGTAATATTGTATCCTATTGTAACAATGCAATGTTTTGTGGACCCAGGACATACTTGAAAACGAGAGAAATCTCAATGTATCCTTCCTGGTAAAATATTTTATAAATAAATAAGAATAGACATAGATTGCTGCATGGACACAGGCTCGCTTTCGGAACACAAGTCTTCTAATCTCAGTGGTGGTTTATAGGTTACAGATCTGTGCCGACAGCCTAGCATTAAAAGACAAAATACTTTTTACAAGAACAGCGAAAATGAATCAAATAAAATTATCTTTACATTTACAAGCAATCTGGCCGAACAATATCATACACATAGGCGTGCGCACGGAGTGTGCCGGATGTGTCTGGGCACACCCTAATCCCTGCGGCACGCCTATGGAGTGAGACCGGCAGGGAAGATCTCAGGATCTCCCCTGTCGGCTCACGCAGAGCCGACGCTATCCGAGCGCCGGCTCTGCGCTCAGTCTCCCTCCCCAGCGACCCACATGCATGGAGGGAGGCAGGAGAGGACCTGGGGAGCTATTGCCGGCAGCTCCGCCGAGTTCCTCTCGTGAGATCTGAGCATTGCCGCGGCAACGCTCAGATCTCGCAACAGTGAACTCTAGCCCGCAGGCTAGAGTTCACTCTCCACTGGACCACCAGTGAAGGCAGCAGGAACAAGAATCCCCCCTCCCTTCATAAGGTAAGAATGGAGGGGGGATATTAAGTAATCTGCCCCCACCTCCACTGGACCACCAGGGAAGGCAGCAGCACGGTCCCCCCTCCCTACATAAAGTAAGAAGGGAGGGGGGATATGAAATAATGTACCCCCACCTCCACCCCCCCATAATCACTCACAGACATACACAGCACCAACACACATACAGCACCCACAGACATACACAGCACCTACACACATACACAGCACCCACACAGCACCCTTACACACAGCACACAAACAGCACCCTCACACACACAGCACACTACCAGTACCCTCACACACAAACAGCACCCTCACACACAGTACATTAACAGCACCCTCACAAGCGCACACACACACAAACACCCTCAACCACATAGCACACTACCAGCACACTCACACACACATCACACTAACAGCACCTTCATACACCACACACACAGTAACAGCAGTGTATGTGTGTGTGTGTGTATATATATATATATATATATATATATATATATATATACATACATACATATATATACACGGCGTGTGCTTGTGCTTTAGGGTGCACACCCTAATGCAATAGGCTGCGCACGCCTATGATCATACATATAAGAATAGTATTTGCTTACAAAAGTGTGGATGTTTTTGCATGAAAAGTGTAACTGATTAGGATATATTTGGTGTCAGCCATATGTATTGAAAAAAAAACAGTAGCCCAATCATTGAAATACACCTCCAGCATCGGATAAATACAGGATAAATTATGAGTCTAATTGTACTCTAATCCAGATCAGATGCTAATTCTGTTCTGAATGACTAACTCCCTTTGGAGTAAACGGGTTAAGGAATTCTTGTCGAGTTAACAGAATGAAACGGCAGGATAAGTGCGGCAGGAATCTCTAAAATAAATACAAATTCTAGGAGTTGCAAAAGCCAATTCAATCCCTCCTTTCAGACATTAATACAATGAAGGATTGTCCGTGTCTGAGCACATTCCTAACCTGTCACTAATACGCTGCCAGTAAGTGTATGACTGGGCAGACACCTACAAAGTAGACTGAGCTTGTTTTGGGAGAATTTAAAACTGCCTTTAGCCAACGCTGCATTAAAGGGACACTCCGAACACCATTACAACTTATGCTCATTGCACAGGTTAAATTATGTACACCGAAAGCGAGAAGCCTTCTCCAACACTGTCACAGCAGGAAGCTATGGAACAATTCTATAGGAAGAGGAACTAATAGGTCCTCAAACTAGCAAACACATATTAACGATAAATGGTAGGTAAACAAGTTCAATATGAGTATGACCCACAAAACAAAAATAGAAACCACAACATGCAACAAGTTATTACAAAGCGAAAAACAAAATCACAACAAATTAAAGTGTCTTTGTTACCGTTTGGGGCCTTTGCATACTTTGGAAAGACACCAGACCTTGACTGCTCCGCTGGGTGTCCGGTATTGCGTGGTGACCTTACCCAAACCGGTCTTCTTTAAAACCAATGTTTTCATAATAAGTCTGAATTTTATTACTTATATTCTCCAATGAGTTAAAAATGAAACTACTAGTTAATAGTGTTCTAGCAGCTCAAATGCAGAAGACATAAAAAAATAAAAATACCCAACACTGTTCTAAAAACCTACAACACTACAATGCATTTTAAAAATGTGAAACATAAGAATTCTAATAAATAGCACGATCACCAGAATTTTAGAGAACAAACTGAGGCAGAGTTTATCACCCATTTCTAAAGTGACCCGAAAAGTGACATCTGGCTTTTCCATCTAGAAAAGACTTGGATGTGGTTGATTTGGAAGATGCGGCGTGGGTTCCGAGCAGTACCCAAGTTGTCAAACCATTTTAGCATAGTTTTACATCTTGTCGTGGGACGTCACCAGGACACTCCAGGCACCATAACTACTACACCTGTGTGTAGTGGCTATGGAGTTTTGAGTGTTCCTTTAATGTATGTAATTCACATTCTTACCATTAATATAAAATGATATTTCTGGATAGTTAAAAGGGGAAATCAATAAACCGGCTCCAATTATGCAATATCTAATTTAATCATAATCACAATGCATTCTGGGATATCATTCCCTGGAATAATAATGGCCTGTACCAACTTGCCAATAAACTGAAAACTTTACATAATGCAGATTTATCGACATCTATTAATTCCATTAATAAGGATTCAAGTGATTTGCAGTACGTGAATTTGATATCAATCTTTACGGTTCTATTATTACCTTGTTTAATGGCACAATATAACAAAACCGAGACTCCTAAATACACGGTAGATAATTCATTTGAATGCTTTACTGGTTTTACGGAAATAAAGAATAAAGGAACGTCCAAACGAACTTCATTACATAGACAATAAAATAACGCATAAAGAATTGAATAGACTGCTGCATATTCTGCTCACTGCTACCACCCCCCTCCCTGCACAGCTCAGAAACATTAGTTTAATCTTTTCCCCCACTACTGCAGCAGTGGATTCATTGATTTGTAATTAAGAACCAGTAAATTTGTTTGCAAATATATACATCCACTTCTCTTTGCAGGTTTGCAACAAAAATGTGATTTTGTTGTCGTCTAATTGTTACAAGATTGTGAGAAGTGAATATATTCTTTAGAAAATTTAGAAATTAGAAACTCTAACTTTAAAGTGGATAACATGGAGGACTTGGGGAATTAAAAGCCAAGCGGTAAGTTGCGGACTTTCACCCACTGAGTAATGTTTCCATTAATAGGCTCGTTATATCATGGACTTATTTTTCCTCAATACAGTGTTATTCTTCAATTAACACCAGGAGATCTCAATTTGTAAAAATGATAATCTAAGGTTAAATATAACCCATCTTGGCACCATCTATGCAAATAAGTTTAAAGTGACTAATTACATATTCCACAGCAAATTAATTAATTCCCATCTAACAATGTTTTTTCTCTTTTCAATTTAAATATATATACACATCGCATACACACACAGACAGACAGGGTAAAGTGATGTATAAATGAATCCATGTTGGGGTTCAATCCTCATTCTCTCACTAAATAATTATTTCAGGGTTACCCCAATAAGAAGCAACAATGTATTTAGTGTGAATGTCCCTTTAACATCTTAACTGCAGCTATGTCAATGTTGTTATTTGCATATTGCTTCCATGCAGATCAATGTGTATTTTCAGCCTTACTTGGTTTCTGAAGTCAGTACTGAAACACGATTAATACATTAAACCCGCTGCATAATGTATGAGAAGCCGTCTGATAACGGGTTAAAATACTTTTAAGGGAGAGGAGCAGAATTAAAAAAAAAAAAAAAAAACGTGTTTGTTATATCTCAGTTGCTGAAATCATTTTTGGCAGGAAATAAAATGCAGAAGGAAATTGAGGGACCATGAATCATAAATAAAATAAAATGAAAACTATCATCTTAATTGATACAGGAAAGCCTGTCAGCGAACTTCCTCGCAGGAACCATGCTAACCAGACACATTTTCTGCCAATACAATTCCTGTCCAATAGAAAAAAGCGAGGCTAGAGCCAGTTAACCCCTTAAGGACACATGACATGTGTGACATGTCATGATTCCCTTTTATTCCAGAAGTTTGGTCCTTAAGGGAATGAGTATAATAAGTTAATGAGACAGATTGGTAAACAAACCTTTCATCTGACCCACCTCGCCAAAAGAGTGAAAGTTCCAACGGTGAAAGTTCTGTAGGACAAAGCTTAAAGGAACACTATAGTCACCTAAATTACTTTAGCTAAATAAAGCAGTTTTAGTGTATAGATCATTCCCCTGCAATTTCACTGCTCAATTCACTGTCATTTAGGAGTTAAATCACTTTGTTTCTGTTTATGCAGCCCTAGCCACACCTCCTCTGGCTATGATTGCCTGAGCCTGCGTGGAAAAAAAAAACTGGTTTCACTTTCAAACAGATGTAATTTACCTTAAATAATTGTATCTTAATCTCTAAATTGAACTTTAATCACATACAGGAGGCTCTTGCAGAGTCTAGCAAGCTATTAACATAGCAGGGGATAAGAAAATCTTAATTAAACAGAACTTGCAATAAAGAAAGCCTAGATAGGGCTCTCTTTACAGGAAGTGTTTATGGAAGGCTGTGCATGTCACATGCAGGGAGGTGTGACTAGGGTTCATAAACAAAGGGATTTAACTCCTAAATGGCAGAGGATTGAGCAGTGAGGCTGCAGGGGCATGTTCTATACACCAACACTGCTTCATTAAGCTAAAGTTGTTCATGTGACTATAGTGTCCCTTTAATGTAAAGACACTTCC